CATGCTTGTTAATTATGTTGACATGCAAGTTAGCTATCTTATAAGAAAATATAAATCAAATATGGTCAAATTTACTTACTAACGCCTTTATCTGACATTTTAGATGCAATATGCAACATAATTATGTAGACATGCGACTTATTTGTGTCAACATGCGAGATAATTATGTCAACATGCAACTTTTTTATGTCAACATGCAAGATAATTATGTCAACATGCAAGATATTTATGTTCACATGCAAGATACTTATGTTGACATGCGACTTATTTATGTCAACCTGCGACTTAGTTATATCAACATGTGAGTTGTATTTTACATGCAAGATATTTATGTCAACATGCAAGATAGTAAGTTGCATATCAACTTACATATCTTGCATGTTAACACAAATATCTTGCATGTTGACATAAATAACTTGCATGTTGACATAATTATCTCGCATGTTGACATAAATAATTTGCATGTCTACATATTTATCTTGCATGTTGACATAAATAAGTCGCATTTTAACTAAAATAAGTCGCATGTCTACATAATTATGCTGTACATTGCATCTGAAATGTCAGATACAGGCGTTAGTAGGTAAATTTGCCCATATTTAATTTATATTTTCTTATAAGATTGCCAACTTGCATGTCAACATAATTAACTAGCATGTTGACTTAATATGTTGCATGTCTACATAATTATGTTGCATGTTAACATAATTTATCTTGCATGTAGGGGGCAGAAATATGCCACCATAGGTTTCTATGCAAATATCTAATTAAATTCCACAATTGCTCTACCTACCGCATAGAAAATGTTAAGACTTGTTTTCTAATACATTCTTGGTACCAACGACATGCGATAGCCAGTACACATTATGACGTCATATTATGACGTCATCGACCTCTACTACACAAGTTTATAAGAAACATCAACAAGATCGCTTTGGCACAAGGGCATACGTTACTTTGTTTTACGGAAACAAGGTTTAAAAAGATGCTGGATTTTCCAAGGATTTAAGATATTGCTGCACAAATGTCGGCACTGCAATTGTTTAGTTACGATTCGTGCAGTTTTAAGCTTAAACAGGGTAAAAATTCACAGTCCAGTGTAAGTTTCCTAATTTTTTTATCGATATAGAACGTGCATAGGATTTGTGCAGCAATTTTATTACTTTTAAGAATATTCTCCTTAATATTATACATTGTTTATTTTAAATTAGATAGGATATGCCCTTGCGCCGACGCGATTTTGTTGATGTGATTTAATACATTGAATGGGAGAGAACAATGACGTCACAATATGACGTCATAATGTGCAGTTGCATTAACAAACTGTGGGTACTAAGTATGTATAAGAAAATCAATTTGAACCTTCTCTGTACATAAAATATACAACTTATGAATTTTGCTTTGCTCATTTGCATAGAAATACCCATATTTAGCCTTAACTCACTTGCGATGTTGATGCTGCAAGGGTATAAATGATTTAGTTAAAGTCGACATTTTGCAACTCCTTTCGTTGATAAAATTTCAACCAGGTTTTGTATCCAGTGTTGACTAGCACTTTGATACAAGAAGGACATGGAAGGAATATTTTTATTATTGAAATGACTGTGGAGAACCCCACTCACCCAATCACAACAAAGAGCTAATGCACAACACCAAAGAAGATGGTGGAACAAGGCGGGCAGAATGCCTATAGCGTCCGACATTAAGAAATCATATTCAATATGTGAATTGAGTGTTTCAATTAACTTCTTATTATTGAAATGTTTGAAATTATGAGGGAAAAAAAAATTCTGAGAGAAAAAAATTTCGTAAAAATATTTTCTTTCATAAAATTAATAGATGGTATTCGTGGGATTCGAATCCTAGCAATAAAAATCCGACGTATCAATAGCATACATGTACTGCTTTGAGACTAACGTGTTATTAATTAACCACTATGCTACATCACTCATGGCGAAATCATGTTTGTGATATGACCCGCGACTTAATGGACTTCAAGTACCGTATAAGTGGAAATTTTAGCGAGACGCAAATTTAGCGATTTGCGCTGAAAAACTAGTAATTTATTTTTAGCGAGATGTTATTTTAGCGATTTTGAAATGAATGTAAAAGAAGTCATAACAAATTAATTGCAATTAATTTTTAGCGATATTTAATTTTAGCGATCTCAACAACCTCGCTGAAAATGCCAAAATTAAATCCTCACTAAAATTCTACATATACGGAATTTCTCAGAAAGATGCGAATGTTGTGTCATAAAACTGTACTTTTAAGGTATAGTGGGTCTTAGCTCCATATTTTTGTAAACCAAAAAATGTGTATTTTATTGCAAACTTCTATGATCATCTTTCAATAAAATGGAGCGAAGACCCACTTTTATTAAAAAAAAATTTGTTAAAGTACGAGAAAATGGTCGTTTTTTGTTCTTTTTAGTATGTGTAAGCTTTTCATAGGCAAATATTTTCTGTTTTTGTGAGATTTTTGTAAATTGTAGAGATTTTACATAAAGAATACTTTAATATTAGATGAAATATCAAATAAAATTCGTATTTAATTGAGATTTTAACTTATCTGTCGCACTATAGGCACTTCACCCGCCTTATCCCCCCATCTTCTTTCTTCAGATGCTGGATATAAGCTACATTTTCCGCATGAATGAATATAATTGGAATATTTTATTCGCAATAGACTGTAAGCCCTTATTGGACCAAAGTTATACACATGTGTTCTATTAAACATGGTTAAGTTGCTGAATATGACGTTCACTTATAGCAGGTTCCAAGTAAGTGATCAGACTTACAAGTTGCTTTGGAAGAAGAATCTGATCAACACTTTCCACGTGAATGAACATGTTAATTTTTCTAGAGATAAACCAGTGCCAGGTAACATTATAAATGTGACCTAATCCGAATTATAGTGACTAAACTTTATTGATAATGCTTGTTACAAAGCATCCACACTACCAGATATGCTTTAGAATTTGGATCTGGACCAGTTTGTAAAGCTTGATTGAACAGACAAAGTATTTTGAGCAGATCCAAGTATCTATACCGGTATATAAATCTAAAGTGAAACATACTTTTAGAAATGTATTAGGGATTCACACTACCAGAACATTTGTTTGACATGCAATTTTATCTTATTTATTGATAACAACTTTGTATTGTTTGATCACCAGTGTTTTTATTTTTTAAGTACAAGTTCGACATTATTCTCAATTTGAATTACGACTAATCGGACAAGGAAAAAACATATACCTTAATACTTTCAATTTTTTTGTTTCTAGACATTACTTCTTGATTCTCACAATATTTTGATTTATTTATAAAATCACTGTAGGTTCTACCGGAGGTCCTTCAGATGAGACCTTATAAACCGAGGCCCCGTGTCACAGCAGGTGTGGCACGATAAAGATCCCTTCCTGCTCAAAGGCCGCAAGTGCCGAGCATAGGCCTTAATTTGCAGCTCTTCACCGGCAATGGTGACGTCTTCATATCAGTGAAATATTCTGGAGAGGGATGTTAAACAGCATAAAATCAATCAAATAATCTACCACAGTTCAGCACTGTTAAAATTTAAAAAAAACCAAGGTACTAGTATTTATTTTGAATAATGCAATGTAAACTGCATATTTTCGAACCCCCTTAGGAATTGACCCAGAAAGTGATATTACTGGTAGATGGTCGGGAGGTTATATTTACCTCCCTCCCTTGTCCTGCCTAAGTGACCAACTCTTGGATTAAACCATCTTTAGTAAACTTCTGTGTTCGTATGCAGAACCTGAATAAATTTCCCTTTACCACATTTTATAGATTCTAATTTTGTATTTAGTGCCGACATGTATGTGAAGTGTCTATAAATTTTCCCTTGACACATTTTAACAGATTATGGAGGCTGTTAAATCCAGTGACAATCAGTTCAAGACATTCATTTTTTCACTGACCACACCTGTATGTTCACTTCTTAGAGAGGTATGTAACTGAAGATTATGGATCTTTAATATGTTTACATCGATCTTCTATTTAGGATTCAAAAAGGTTCTTTTACATATACATGAATTTTTTATACAAAAGTAATTTCACCACTTATGCATTGCCTTTCATATGATGATCATATGTGAATCATATGTGCATACAATAAAATGAGACAAATCATATGTGGATCAGCTGTGGATCATTTGAATTCACTTCATTATGCAAATCATAAGAAGCAAAATGCATATGATACATATATGTGGATCATATGTGGCGAAGTTGCGAAGTATGATCTGACTAAAAAATGATTCAACTTCTTTCATTATAAAACCTCTCTCTGTTTTACATGTAGCATGCCTTCTTTATGCTGCTAAATAAAAAGTTTTAGTGAATACCTTTTACCTGGTCTGTTTTAGACTTCTCCTTCATCATGTCCAGTCCATTATCCCTGCTTGTGATACAGGGCTAAGATTTATAAGATCCTTGTGTCTGTTTTCAAATCTCTGTATAAGTGTAAGTTGATAGAAGACATAGCGTCAGTGAAGGATGTTTGAAAATGGAGGAGTGGCCCTATCTTAACAGCAGCTCTGAATACACAGTTCAACACAACACTTACTGTACAAATGAAAATGTTACATACAGATATAAGTATTGAAAAGAAATAGTTTGAACTATGCATTTACTGGTTAATTGAGCAGTTTCATTTTTTTTATCTGAGCCAAAAGATGTTATATTTAGGAATGTACACAACCAGAACATTGGTTAAGAAGTGCAACTTTGCATTAATACTTTAGGGATAACATTTGAGGCAAACTTTGTAACCTATTTTTATTTTTGTAGAGCAAGTTTGACATTATTATCAACTTTACCTACGACAAATCGGACAAAGAATGCATACCTTCTGGTATGTATCCAATAACAATAGAAACTCATTCATTGAGAAATGATTGTAGTTTTTGTCCATTGATACGACTTTTCCCTCTCTCTCACAGTATTTTGATTTTTTTATTTGTAAAATTACTGTAGGTCCTATCATAGTCCAGCATTATTCAGGAAAAGGAAAAACCAACAAAAGGTAAATGCATATTTCAGCATAATGCATAAGAATATCAGTAGTAATGTAATGAAATTTGAACAAGTTAGCAATGTTGCAAATTTAATGCATATACATTTATACACATGTTTAAAGACACGTCTCAGATTAGTTAATTCTGGTTGTGATCTATATAGTCCATTTTTTATGGAGTTAACTACATTCAACCTTTGATTTAATAGAATTATGGAGACACCTACACGAGGACTAATGTAGCTAAAGTTTTATCAGACATCACAGATGGCTATTTTCAAAGGTTTATATGATGACTTCTTAGCTCACCTCGACAAAGTCAAGATATACTTATGTTATACCCCCACCCCCTCTTATCAGCATCTTAGCTCACCAAGTTGTTGAGATGTACTTATGATGTACATCCGCACAAACATCCGCATTAAAGTTTCTAGAGAATGACCATTCCTAGATAAGTATAAGCCCATCCTTGAACAAACAGCATCTAGGGATGTACACTTCCAGACTTGCTTCGGATGCTGGATCTGACCTACATTTTACAATTGAGTGACCAGGTTAAAATTTTTGGAGCAGGTTCATTCCCAAGTAACTATAAGCCCTAACTTTTCCCTAATTTGCATGGATGATGCATCTATGTACATTTCAAAATTTTCCTTTAGTCCCTGGATCTCACCTAGACTTTTCACTGACTAGATTAAAGTTTTTGAAGAAAGTTCATTCATTAGTAAGTACAGTAAAACTCATTTAGTATGAACACGGATATAAGGAATTCAAGGATAAAGCGAATTTTTTCTGGGTCCCCAGAAATATTCTGAACAAAATTTTACGATTATAATGAACTCTAATATTACGAATTTACAGATATAGCGAGCTAATTTTGAGTCCCGTTGAGATATAATGAAATTTACATATTTACAACGAACTTTCAAAGATACAAAAATTTGATATATTGAACCGACTTTTTTTTTATTTTAGCAATTGTATACAAAATTCAATTCATAATAAAACCTTAGTTATCGAAGGTATGTTTTGTAGTATTTGCTTCCCTAACATATTTAGTAGTAATATTTGAAGGAAAACATGCATATTGCGAATTTGCAATATATGGTTATACAATTTTTTTATATGGATATAGAAAATTAAATTTACAGGTCCCCAGGACTTCGCTATAACCGAGTTTTACTGTATAAGGCTTTTGGTGTCTGAACTTGCATATTTGATACATCTAGAAAAATAACACTGTGAGGTTTGCTGAGTGACCTGTTCTAACTTTTCTCAGGTAAGCTTTAAATCCTATAGTGGCCATTATGCCTGTATGATACATCTAGGGATTTTTTTTTTCACCATCAGAAATAGTTCAGATACTAGACCTGACCTAAGTTATAGGTCCATTTCAATTAATTATAAATTCTATCTGTACTAAACTTGCAAAGATATTACGTAAGAGTTAATGTACGAGTAGCGCTCCATTCTTTAAAAGTAATGGAGCCGAGGCCCCGAAGGGGCCGAGGCCTATAACTTTTAAGGAATGGAGAGCTACTCGTACATTAACTGGCGTAAAATCCGCCTTTCTAAATGCTTGTTTTTATTGCTTGTTAATACATAATAAAGAATATTTATATGATACATTGTAAATACTTTTTACATATTAGTAGTATTATTTATATATAATATAGAAAGAAAAATTAAAAAAAGTGTATTGAAGTAAATCTAAACCATCGTCTCTCAACAGCTTCGTTAGCTCAATGAAATTAGCATCGGACTTCTATGGTGAGGGTACCGGGTTCGATTCTCTTCATGGGAGCTCTAATTTTCTTAAATGTGAAAGTATCCTTGACAATTTTCTAAAATTCTTCTCCAAAATTTTCTGAGTTCATTCCTTGGTAGAGGCACGGAAAGGAGAATAAGACTATAAAAAAATTCCGTTTTCAATGTAATTTGCAACTCTCCATTCCTTAAAAGTAATGGAGCGCTCGATCAAACAAAAGAATGACGTCACAGGTGGATTTTACCATTCAATGATATTCCTTGAAGTGAGCTTCATAATCTTTAATCTTCTATGTACTCTTACTTATAATTTAGCAAAAATCAATTCAAAAATATATAAAACGATACTGTTAATGCTTTGAAATGTAATTTATGTAACAGCATTTTTATTATTCTTCATAGGTTCAAGATATCAAGGTTTCACTGTACATTAAGTGAGTAAATCATTCATTTATTTTCACAGGAACTACAGTGTCCCAAAGAGCAATGAGAACAGTGTCTGAAAATGTGATGAAATCAAGTGTGTCCATGATGCTGTCTTTGTAGCCTTAGTTCTCAGTTTTTCATTCATAATGATTTTTTTCCATAGCATATTGAGTATTCTTTGCAGGATAAATTCCAGATGCAATCACGGTGACCTACTTATGATATTTTATTGTTATATTATAATATCTTCAGTCTTAACTGGCTAAAAATTATCAAACTTTGTCAGTTGAGGCATATTGGGTCTTGTGATAGAGCTAGAGGCTTCAAATAGAAGTGATAGATTGTACAATTGATCAGAAGAGAGATTCAAGACCCTTGGGCTTCTTGTTTAACAGAAACTACAGTGTCTGTAAATGTGACCAGATCAAGTGTGTCCATGACGCTGTCCTTGTAGCCGGTTAGTTCTCTGTTTTTTTTATTTATAGTGAACTTTTTTGCTTGTAAAATTAGCCTCCTTTGGAAAATAAATTCAGTATTTTACAAACCTTATAATTATATTGGACACATGTTAGAATATATAGTTAACAGAAATAAAACTGAAAGATAAAAATTTATATTTTTATTTTTAATTCCTCCACAGGTTGATATAATAAGTACAGCCGCACTCTGAGTCAAACTCCGTGGATTCTAGACGGAGGCAGGAAAATTCAGTTATCCTTGGAGGAAGAAATTTGTGGAACATTGAAGCAGAAATTTAGATTTACAGGTAAAATCCTGAGTATATATACCCATATCCTCACCGTGAAGTTAACTAGACGAACAGCTTGTAAGATTATCAGTCGAGACAGAGAGAATTTCCTTTCGAATTTTTATTAAATGTCAAAACAATATAAACTGTTTCTGACATGCAGAAAAATGTCATCTGGCAATACTTGGTTCTCTAAAAATAACCCGATGGTAGAGTTTCTCATTTGTAGCTTTTGCACAATAAAATCCCAGTCAGCTCCTTTAACATAAGTTGAATGTAAAGATTAATAAATTCCTGAGACATTCAAGTTTATCTAAAAAAACTTGGATATAACATTGATGGTACAGTGTATCATATTATAATACAAGCATTGTTAAATTACAATAATAATACAGTGTAATGCGGTTACACGTACGAAGAATTTTAGATGCAACTACTAGTATTTTACTTGAATTTAGCAGGAGTAGGATTTCACTGGAGATATTTGATTTTCTTTACTTTGTTTTCTAATTGAGCAACAAACAGATTGTCATTTGCATCTGTACACAGTCCCCAGGGTACACTAAGTCCACAGTCTATGTAACAGAGGAACTGTCCATCCTGGTCTATGATGTGGACACAGTCATTGTCACAATCAGCTGTAAGGATGTGACTCTGACTGTCTGTGGTGATTCCTCGTGGACTAAATGATTGGTTCTTTGGAGCAGGAGTATGTCCAGTGTACCTAAATCTCAGTTTTCCGGCCTGATTGACAACCACTACAGCATTAGCTCCACAAACAGACACACAGATATCCAGGTTCCTGTTCTCTGTTATGTACCAGAATTTAGCAAATGTAAATGTAAATTTTGGTGATGAATAAAGTAGTTTACCTTGATTATCAAATTGAATGCTTTGTTTCTCTGTGGAGCCAGAGTAATGGACAACTTTTGTTTGAATTTCATCATTGCTATTCATGATAACCAGGAGGTCACCAGAGAAGGTACTACAGACACCGCGAGGTATCCAATTCTGTAGTCTGATCACCTCCTCGATCTTCTCATTCTTCACAATGTTAACAGTTCTACTTTTATCAGTATAAACTAGATTTCCACTTTTTGTCACTGCTATGTCCTCTGGTCTCTTCCCTAACTTGGTTGTGATTGACTTGAGTAGTGATCCCTGATTGATGCTGAAGAGTTTCATGGTTGTGTCTATTCCACTTGTCCAGATTTCTTCATCACTCAGACAGACAACATTGTAAAGGTATTCATACCCAGTGTCTATGGTGGTGACAGTCTCTGGTTCATCAAGCAGCTGTTTGACTGGAGAAGAGGATCCAGCATTTGATGATTTCTGTGTTGTTTTCATGCTGTAGCCAAGTTTATCTGAAGTATGAGAACTTGATGATAAGGTGCCAAACAGTTTACTAAGTTCTGCTCCATTAATTGTGCCTGGGTTGAATTTAGACAAAGACGGTAGAATTTTTTGTGGAAGATTTCTATATCTATCTAGTACATTGGTTGTAATACTCAACAGTTTTGAAATGTTATTAGAATCCTCAGCAAGATCAATTGAATCAATTTCATCTTTGATGTCAGACATTGTCTTGTTGATTTCTTCAAGTTGTTTCTGTAGAGTTTGTAGTTGTGTGTTTTTCATCTCTTCAACTTCAGCTTTAAATTTCTGGACAAGTTTGTCAATTTCTCTGTGCCAGTTTTCTCCATGTTTTGTTATGGCTGTTGAGAGATCTCCATATTCCTGTTTTAAATGACTCATTTTGTTTTGTACATCAGAGGCAATGTCCTGGTAGGTGGGATAAATTATTTCATTAAGTTCAGTTTGTTCTTTGATGATTTTGTCTTTTTTCTCATCCACAACTTGTAAGATTTCCGATAATTTATGACCAAGATGTTTTTCCGATGCTATGCACTTTGTACAAACAGGAATGTCACAATGATTACAGTACAATGTACATTGTTGCCTGTTATGAAATTTACATCCAGGGTAGAGAGGGGTAGATTTTCTGTCCTTGAAATCAACAATTTTATGAGGTTTTGCAAAATCAGCAGAGAAGTGTATTCCTACACAAGCTGTACACAGGTTGACAAGACATGTATCACAGTGCATCTGTACCACAGCGGTCTCACACAGGTCACATCGCATCACGTCCTGGGCACTGGTACGGGGGTCCATGATTTAACTTGTGACTCTGAAATATAAGGTTAAAAGTATTCAGTACTTGTAGTTGATTAAAGTACCAGCCTAGTAGATTTTCCTTTTTTTCAATCGTAAAATTCCTGTAGTATTCGTAGTAACCCATAATTCAATACTCATTCAGCTGATTGGTCAGTTAAAATCATGCCGGTGCCTCATTTGCTAATCTGACGCCAAAAAAAAAATAGTCCCGGTTCCCATGCAAAAAGCAATTTTAATTCATGACTGCAAAAAATAAGTAATATAGAGAAAACTTATTTCAGTTTGATATTAATGTAAAAGAGATCGATTGATTGATATACATTACTGCAGATATTATCAGCTGATTCTAAGGTGGTAAAAATTGAAACTCAACATAACTTTTCTGTTTACCGTGTCTCCGATTGCTAGTCACTTCCTATCCACATTTCCATGAATAATTTACCCTATCTCGCTGTAGCGTCGCAAAATTTCGCCAGAGCTACTGCAAGAGCTACTCTGAACTCATCGGGTTTACACCGAAAAATAAAAGGTTCCAAACACATTAGTAGGGGTGATATTCTCTTTCGAAGACAGTCAGCTTTAAACGTATCCCGGTCAGCCTTTCCTCTGTCATTTGTGACATAAAATATGCAACAGAACAACAATAAGCTGTATATTTCAAAACATAAGATTTGTACAGATGAAAAGTTTGCCTCCTAAAATACTTAGAAAGTGCTGCTAGAATCCCGAGTTAAGCATGGTTTTACGAAAAACCTCGGTTCATATGCATAGTGGTGTCTCCATTATATCGCGGTACTTAAAACTTTTGCATAAAAAGTGTAATTCATATTTTTTAGTGTAACTTTCATCAAATGATAATCATAAACCAGACTATGTGTCAAATTATTTCCCAAGGTTGCATCGTTTTATTTGTAAACTTTTTTTAAAACCAGATGTCTAATTTGCCTTCTAAATTGGAGAGTCTCATAGTATCGCGGAAAACATGAAAACTTGAGGTTGAAATGGACTTCAATATTTATTTGTAAATTTACGATTTAATTCTACATAAAAAATGAACAATAATACAAACTAAAGACTTTCAAAACATGAACTTTTTTATGGATTTTACTAGATTTTAAATTCAGAGGTCTAAATATAATAAAAACTGGAAATGGAAATCTGTAAATTACGTTTTATTTGAATTAAAAAAAACTTCCGACGTATGTTCCATACTTTTTAATCATCACGAAAATTACATTCAGACGACGAATTATTATTTTACTGAGTGAACAGTGGGATTCTAGCAGCACTTTTTAGGCAAAATAGATGTTTTTCAACTGTATTATTTACTCAAGGAAATTATTAAACTCCGGGGGCATTATTGTTCTGTTAGCTTTTTAATTTAAGGAAAATGTCGCTATTAGTAGAAGTCACGTGATCCCGTGGTGGTGGTGCAAGTCTTTTTAGCGTTAGACACTCTTTTATCTTTATGCAATAAATAATAATAGTTTACGTTTATCAGCGGTTTTGGTAAATTATCAAACTTAATTTTCTTTAAAAAGTCTAAATTTCCCGAGAAATGACTTATATGCTTCCTTAACATACCCGAGTAATTATAAAATTATGATGCATGCATATGTTTGTCTCACGTGCAACAGACTATAGTACCTGTGACTAGGGTGTTGAATTACTTCTATAAAAGAGTTCAGCATGAAAAGACTATAAGTAAACTCAGGTGACCTATCTATTGCTATCTGTTTTTGTCCCTCGTCGTGCATCGTGCGGACGTGCGTCGTGCGTTGTTCGTTAACATTTGAACATTTTCAGCTTCTTCCCCGCAACTGCTCAATAGATTTCAACCAATTTTGACATAAATCATCTATGGGTGAAGGGGAACAAAATTGTGAATTTCATGGTCCATGCCCCCCTGGGGTCTGAGGGGTGGGGCCAAAACCACTAAAATTAATGCAATCTTTAAAAATTTTCTTCTTTACTCCTGGACATCAAGCAGTCAAACTGTTTGCATGATTGTAATCAGCATTGAGTCCTCTACCAAAATTATGAAATTCATGGCCCTGGGGTCAGGGGTTCTAGTGCTAAGGCGGGGCTACATAGATTATATAGTGAAAATGCATTATTTCTTTGAAAATCATCTTCTCTGCTTCTTGATATCAAATAAACTAAGTAAGTACATAGTTATGATGAACAAGAATGCTTCTTCCAAAATTGTGAATTTTATGGCCCCAGGGTCAGGGGTTCTGGTGTTAAGGCGGGGATCTATTGATTATATAGTAAAAATGCATGAATTCTTTGAGAATCCTCTTCTCTGCTCCTGGGTATTAAGCAGATTTACTACATATATAGTTCTGATGAGCAAGCTTAAGGGCCTTTCTTCCAGAATTGTGACTTTCAAGGCCCAGTGGTACCATAGAGGGGGGCTCTACTTATATGCTGAAAATGAATTGTTTGTTTGAAATCTGCTCCTTGGTATTAATCAAACATTTTTGATAAGCAAGAGTGTCGTTTTAAAAAAAAAATGTGCAATGTGTGGACCTAGGGTCAGGGGATTATATGGGTAGGGGTACTTGTGATTATTAAGGTCTTCCGTTTCCAACGGAAGACCTTCTACTGATTCTGTTGGTAAAGATTATTAGGGTCTTCCGTCTTCAGCGGAAGACCCTTCTATTATTCTTATGTATTCTTTTTCACTTTTCTTCTTCTTATTATTATTAGAAGACGGAATACCCTTTTATTATTCTTCGGTTTCTTTTTCACTTTTATTATTATTCTTGCCTTTTCTTCTTACAATTTTTGTGCAGAAGATTTCTCAGAGATGGCTCAACCGATTTACTTGAAATTTTCAGAGAAGATGTATCTTTATCTAAACCTCATACGTTTTTTTTCATTTTTTTGAAATTCACTTCCGGTCTAAAGTTATCGCCCTTTTATCAAAAATCAGAGGACCTCCTTGCCTGTGATAGAACTCAATAACGGCTTGAGCTAGAGCGCTGAAATTTTTAGTGATAATAGAGGACATGTTGCCATGTTGCACCTGGGTCAGGACATTTTCCGGAAGTGCCTAGTATGGAAGCTCGGTAGGGGTCAAAATTTAGGACACGAATCATGACTGATTTTTTAAGACATTTTGCTTCATATCTTTTAAAGTGTAATTATTTTCTTAAAGCATACTGAACAAAATTTGTGCAGAATGACAAGATCTTAAATATGATATCAAGAAAAAAAAAATGCTGACTCATCACATTAGGGGCCAAAAGGGGCTAAAAGTCTTTTTTCGATAACTCTTTAACAGTCAATATTTTGTTATACATTACTGAAGCAAAAATATTTATCTCAACAATCTACAACTAGATATTATAATTTTTATGTCGTATGGTATATAATTAGGGGCCACATGGGACCAGAATGCTAAATCTTTGACGCTTCATATCTCAAAAGTGGGAAATATTTTGATAAGTAATATTGAACAAAAGATGTTCAAAATAATGTTCTGAACAAAGCAAAGCCTTTAATTTTTCGCTAAACGTCCCCATTAAGGAGTTGAAGGGCTGGCCCCTAATTATTTCTTTTGCTAATCATTCGAAAACAAAACAGAATCTCTGAATAGTTGTTGAACAAAAAGTGTTCCAAACCTTAAGAGCTTTCAGATAAAAACCAGAAAAAGGGGCTGGCCAAAAGTCTCTAACTCTATACCTCTTTAGCAAGCAATATTTTGATATACATTACTGAAGCAAAAATATTTATCTCAACAATCTACAACTGCATATCATGATTTTAATGTCGTATATTGCATAATTAGGGGCAACAAGGGGCCAAAATCCTAAATCTTTGATGCTTTATATCTCAAAATAGGAAATATTTTGATAAGTAATATTGAACAAAAGATGTTCAAAATAATGTTCTGAACAATATGCTAACTTTCATTTTCCGCTAAACGTCCCCATTAAGGAGTTGAAGGGCTGGCCCTTTAAAATTTCTTTTGCAAACAACTCAAAAATGATTAACAATCTCTGAATAGTTGTTGAACAAAAAGTGTTCAAAATCGTGAGAGCTTTAAGATAAAATTCAGAAAAAGGGGCTGGGCATTCAAATTAGGGGACAAAAAGGGCCAAAAGTCTTCAATCGATAACTCTTTAGCAGTCCATATTTTGATATACATCACTGAAGCAAAAATGTTTACCTCAACAATCTACTACAATATATTATGAATTTTATGTCGTTTGTTACATAATAAGGGGCCACAAGGGGCCAAAATGTTCAGTCTTTGACGCTTTATATCTTAAAAGTGGGAAATGGTTTGAAAAGTAATATTGAACAAAAGATGTTCAAAATGATGTTTTAAACAATATGCAACCTTTCATTTTTCGCTAAATGTCCCTATTAGGGAATTGAAGGGTTGGCCCCTAAATGTCTCTTTTGCAAATAAATCGAAAACGAAAAGAAATCTCTGAACATTTGTTGAACAA